TAGAAATAAATATATATGTACTTGAATTATATTTACACTAGACAAGTACATATAGAATTGTAACAGTTGTAATGATATACCATACTTTTTTTCTCTCACCCTTTTTAAAAAATACTCTAAAAAGTATGGTATATCATTACAACTGTTACAATTCTATATGTACTTGTCTAGTGTAAATATAATTCAAGTACATATATATTTATTTCTAATACAGGTGAAACTCAAAAAATTAGAATATCGTGCAAATGAATGTATGTATTTGCATTATAATTATTTCTGTGTGGTTTTTTTCATTTTCTTTGTTACTATTTTAAAATTAAAAAATCAATAAAAAAGTATTGGAGGCAGCTGAGATACCTGCACTTCTAGTGGACTAGGCCATAATTCCCTGTGGTGTAGGCTTATTCTGAATTTCATAAGTTAGTTTGAACAAGCCTTGAGTCATCTGGATTTCATAGCTGGCAAGGCTGTAAGGAGCCTCTCAAAGACTCTGGAATCCTTTGTTCTTCACAAGTAGGTCCTGATAATCTGTGTGATCTCTAGTTTGTGCCAGTATTTTTCTAGTTAAGGATAAAGACTGAGTCTAGATGCAGAGTAGTGATATCTGGCTGAATGACATAGAATGCTTTGTCACTCAAAAGTTTATATCTCATGGTCAACTGGCTGAAACTTTATTGTTGCTGTGCACAGGGGCTTGAAGAACTAGCTGGAGGCTCCATGATGGATAGTGGTGAATCATGGGTAACCTTAGTATGGAATCTCCTGATGTGAGGAAGGGCTGAGAGGGGTCCCATGTTCCTTGGTGTCAGAACCACTTGATTGCAGACCAAAATCAAAGTTCATCTGTACTAAGGTCAGGACCTGGGATGTAGAGGCTGACACTGGTAAGATTTCTTTCCTTTTGTCCCATCTGCAGAAGGTGTACCAAGTGAATTCTTATATGTGGTGGTGGATTTAGGATGCTGAGATGGTCTGTATGATTTGCTATTGTATCCTAGGCTGCTGAGATGGTCTTACTCAATCCCCAGGCATGTAGCTGTAATCAACTGGGGTCTAGGTAGTTGAATCTCGTTTGGCTCAGCAGGTCTGCTTATGCCAGAAGGCTCCATGGATCTGGATGCTGACAGGTTATTAGGTCCAAATAACAAAGCCTTCCAGGGCAATTGTGAGCTAAGTATCAGATCTGCTCTCCACTCTTATACTATTCTGTAGAGTCTGAGTATTAGTGAAAATGGGGTGGCGGGGGAAAGCATATAGTAGGCTCTGAAGATATTTGTTTCCTCTGCTTCCTGGGTTGGATAGTATGAGATGAATCGTTCCACTCTGCAATTAGAGGAAGTTTCTAGGAAGTCCATTACTGGTCTTCTAACCTTTGTAACACAATTTCTTTGAACATCTTGGGACAAAATCTCCATTCAGCAGGGTCCAGATCTTTATGCTACCACTTTGTGGATCCCTTGGGTATGTTTGATCAGGAGATAAGGTAAATTTTCTTTGGTTCAGCACAGGAGTTTATCTCTTTCATTAGCTGTCTTGATCTACTGCCTCACAGTAAGCTTTGGTGGTCACATTATCTATTAAGATGAGGACATGTTTGCCTCTTAGGAGACTGGAAGTTGCTCAGAACTAGGCCTGCTGCATGGAGTTTATTCTGCTTTGGGTTTCCTCTTCTGTTCAGACTCACTGAGTTACTATCTTAGGCAATGTGCCCACCATCACAGAGCCTGGCATCTGTGATGAGGCAGACCTGGTGAGAAGGTACATGTTCCTGCCCTTGGTTAGGAGTTCTAAGAGCATCCTTTACTTGGATTGCCATGTCTTTCTGGAACCTTTGGGCTATAATGTTCTGGAATGGGACAAGCATCCACTGGTGGGGACTTGAGTGGAATTTTGTTCATGATTTTGAGTCTATGATGGCAACCATCTGGTTTTGGAGACTGGCAGGAGTTATAGGATTCAGGTAGCCAGTCTGAAGGACTGGCAGAACTAATTGCTGGATAGTCTCCTCTCCTCTGACAATCAAATTAGGCCTTTTTCTGTGGCCAGAATCTTGCCCAGGTGCTGGTGTCGATATGCTGGTTTAAGGATGAAGAAGTCTTGACTTCATTTTTCCTCTGCCTAATTAATCCATATCCCCTTCATTAATATCTGGGAACCAACATTAAGCTGAATAGGACTCTTAACTGGTAGTGGGTGCCTATGTGATGGAAAGCATGAGCGAGGAGGATCCTGGAATGGAGCTTAACAGTTACAGGGAGGGGGAGAGACATTCCAAGCATCTCCTCAGCCCCCAGCCA